CCCCCCCCCCTTTTTTTATTGTGCCCCTAACCTTTTCTACTTTGTTGCTGATCCCAATTGGGTTATGTTCTCTCTACTGTGGTATACACATTAAGTTTTTCTCTACAATGATTCCGCCTATTCTTCTTCTGCGTCGACCTCGGTTTTAGATTTTTCCTGTTCCGACATGTAGTCATGGTTGCTTCAGCTGTTGTTGCTTATTCTTAATTTCATAAAGTTTGTAGCCATCTAACTCATTCCATCCTCCTATTTCTTCTCCTTTATCTAATAATTGCAGATATCATTCTCTGCATCTAACTTGCGCGACCGTGATGTATGCTCCAAGGTCGGTATATCTTTTATAGCCTTTTATTTCTTTCCAAAGAATAACACTCATAAATTAGGCATTTTATGCCTATGTTTACAAGGATGCCGTAGTAGTTGCATCGCTAGACTGGGTGAAAAGATATCATGAATTCGCTGAAGTACTTCCATTCCTGAAGCTCTTTTTAAGTGATCGAGGATATCTAATGTATATTTACTCACTTGGAAGTCCCATTTTTTGCAACTTTGGTTTAGACCCCAACTTTGGATTTATTAATGTTAGTTCAATACCTGTCCGCCTGCTGATGCCATTGTTTCTTCAAAAAAATTCTTATCGGAAGTTTTATTTTCCTCAGAGTGATCCAATGCTGGTTGTCTACGCAAAAAGACGGGACGGATCTCTAGAAGAGCTTGACCGCACTGAAGTAGTTCAAAATTCATTAAATCCAAAATGGATCCATAAGCTTAATATTAACTATCAATTTGAGGTTGTGCAAACTTTGGTGTAAGTTTAAATGTTTGTTTTTTTATCTCTAGTTCACCAGATTAACATCTTGCTGGTGCTACGGTAATCAAGGCATTGATATCTTATCACAGGTTCTTTGTGTATGACGTTGATACTCAATATCACAGCCTAGGAGTAAAGGTAGACAGCCACGAGAACTTTTATTGCTTAACATATCCTTTGTGCCGAATATAGTTTAATTTTGACTAGAGATCTGTTATTAAACACATAATAGTAGATCCAGTATAACCAATACTCTCTAGCTTGAAGAGTGATATGTCATACTTGGTTGAGTTCCTATTTTTTCCTCATCTTCTTTTCCCACACCAGCTAGTATATTAATCTCTTGGAAAACTAGACATATCAAACTTTAACCATTTACCAGAAATCATTACTCGATTCATTAATTATTTATACTTTTATGAGAAGAAGAAGGGTGCAAATAATGTTGACATTCTGTTCTAAAGCATTATACTTACTACATTGTAATTATATGCTTGAGATTCAGTTGATGATGTGGAGACTCTTAATTGTGCAGATGCTGAAGCTAGATGAACAGAAATATCTTGGTGAAGCAACCTGTGTACTATCTGAGGTATTGCATGTAGTTTAAATTGTATATTCTATCATGCTGAGCATTTACTTGCATATGATTTGAGTGCTATATGCTGAATGTGGCTATTGAATACTTAGTATGCTTTCCGTTACAATCGTGTAGAGGGATATTATTTGCAGTCTAAGACAAATTATTTAGTTCGTGAATTTAGATTAATTTCACCACTGGCCTTTTCTATCTTGCAGATAGTTACCCAATCAGACAGGTCACTTACATTGAATCTAGTATATAGAGAAGAGTCAACCAGCTCTACTCATCCACACCACTGTGGAAAACTTACTGTTCATGCTGAGGAGTGTTTTAGCTCAAAGACCACAACAGAGATGATATTGAGGTGTTCAAACTTGGGACACAAGGATCTCTTCTCAAGAATTGTATGCAGTGTTGAGATGTTAATTCATTTCCATTTGTTATCTGTACAAGGAATGTGAATTATGTTTGTTGCATTTTCTGATTCATGGTATAGGACCCTTTTCTGGTTATTTCAAAAACTGTGGAGAGTAAGAGCTCCATTCCAGTTTGCAAAACTGAAGTAATAAAGAATGATTTGAATCCCACATGGAAGCCTGTGTTCCTGAATATGCAACAAGCTGGAAGCAAGGTACAATGTACTCCTTAGGACAATTTAAAACAAATGACCCCCCAATTAAGCATGGGCCATCACGCTAATCACTGTTGTGAATTTAATTAGCATACAACGTTGTGAATCCTATTTAATGTTTTTATCCTTTCGTATTTAATCTACCTTTGCAGCTCATTTTTCTGTAAGTTGTCTAGAAGTATGAGAATTGGTGCATCATGTGCTTTACAACCCAAGAATCGTATTGATAGTTTAATATTTAATTAATGTCATTCTGAGTGCAGATTATGTATTTCTACAGGGAAATAAAATAGGTATGATCCGTGGAGAGCATCTGATTTTCTGCTTTCTTATTGATTTTTGTATTTAATTGCAGGACAGCCCCTTAATAATAGAGTGTTTTAACTTCAATAGCAATGGAAGGCACGAGTTGATTGGGTAAATAGAGAAATTATGCTTCCAGAGTTCTTTTTTTTTTTTTTTTTTTTTTTTTTCCTTATTTTTAAATGAGTTCTTGAGTGCATGTGTTTCATTGTGACTTCGTGTGTTTTCTTTCTAATCAGAAAAGTTCAAAAGTCACTTGTGGAGTTGGAGAAGCTTTTTTTAAGTGGGGAGGGAGATAACTTATTCTCACTTCCTGCTGCTGGACATGATTACCATAACAAAGTCTTGAATAGAACTCCCAATGATATCCTTCGAGTTGTTTCTGTTCTTGGTTTCTACAATCGATTTTATTTATGAGTTCTGATTCCATTTCAGGTACTAAAAAGCCAACTATTTGTGGACAAATTCACTGAGAGCGTCCAACAAACATTCCTTGATTACTTGGCTGGTGGCTATGAAATGAACTTCATGGTGGCTGTTGATTTCACGGGTAACTAGTATTCTTGTACAATAAAATTATAGTTCTAAACCATAAATTCTCATACTCCGAATTATTTGTTACTGAGTTTGTCCGATGGCTAACTGAAGGTAGTGTTTTTCTAAAGCATACTTTCTCAACATGTATGTCAAGCAGTCATATTGGTTTTTTGCTGTTTGCATTAGAATTTAACTCACCACCTCCCCCCTCAGCTGGCTGAACCGAACTAGCTGTTGTTTGTGGCTGAACAACACATTCTCACCATCTAATTTCCGTGGTTTTCTTTTAGCTTCAAATGGAAACCCTCGCCTTCCTGATTCCTTGCATTTCATTGATCCTTCAGGACGGCCAAATTCATACCAGCAAGTGAGAAATGGATCCCTGATTTGAGCTCTACAAGTTTTTATTTTTCCTATTTGATTGTGACCTACCTCTTGACTATTTCAGGCAATCATAGAAGTTGGAGAGGTATTGCAATTTTATGACTCAGATAAACGCTTTCCTGCCTGGGGGTTTGGAGCACGACCTATTGATGGTCCAGTCTCTCACTGTTTCAACCTAAATGGAAGTAGTCACTACTGTGAGGTGGAACGGTTGCATAATACAAATTCACTTTCTGTTCCCCTAAATATTAATATTGCCAAATTCAACGTGCTTCTGTGTTAAACAATTGTAAGTTATCTTTTAGGTTGAAGGAACTCAAGGAATTTTGATGGCATATACAAGTGCGCTCCATAATGTGTCTCTTGCAGGACCAACACTTTTTGGGCCTGTGATTAACAATGCTGCATTAATTGCCAGTCAGTCTCTTGCAAATGGTGGGCGGAAGTACTTTGTTTTGCTAATAATCACTGTAAGAGCAAACAACCACTGAGTTATTTTTTACGATAATTTTGTATTAGTCCACAATATGTCCTTCTGTGTGCACTCTCTGTGCATCACGAACTACATCTTATCCCAGTTTGTCCATTATTCCTTATCATCAGGGCATGTTACTTGCATTTATTTTCTGGGGGACACTAAAAGATCCCCCTGTTTAAGCTTCAAGGTTTTGTTTCTGATGATGGCCGATTATCTGTAGGATGGAGTGGTAACAGATCTCCAAGAAACTAAAGATGCTCTTGTGAAGGCATCTGATCTGCCACTGTCTATTCTCATTGTTGGAGTGGGTGGAGCTGACTTTAAAGAAATGGAGGTATTTACTTTACTTGTATGTTCCTTCACAACTGATATCTATACGGCATTCAGGTGGCGTGAAGAAGCCACAGGGAAACTAATTTTAACTAGCTGGGAGTTTTTTTTTTTTTTTCCCCTTTTAATTTTGATTGTTTTTGGAGATCACGGTTGTTTTGTCCACCTAACCTGTTTTCATTTCTTAACCAAGAAAATGTTTATGTATAACAGCGCAAGTAGGATCAGTTTTGTTTTGTTATACGTTATTTAACTATATTTCCCAATGCTCAAAGGCCTTAAATCAGAGTTACAACCTTCCTTATAATTTTACTGGATTGTTAGGTCTCTTCTCTAATTTCCCATTGTATCGGAGTTGATTCTATTTAAACTCTACACAGGTTTTAGATGCGGATAAGGGAGGGAGACTTGAAAGCGCAACTGGACGTGTTGCTTCACGAGATATAGTCCAGTTCGTTCCATTCCGTGATGTACAAGGTGAGTAATTCTCTACAATGAAATTTGGATTCAACCATGATACGAAATGTGGAAAACTCCTGTCATGCTTATAGCTAACGTTTTCCTGTCATGCTTATAGCTAACGTTATACTTATAGGTGGAGAGATTTCTGTTGTTCAAGCATTGCTAGCAGAAGTACCTCATCAATTTCTGACCCATGTTCGAAGTAGAGATGTTCAACCAAATTCTAGATCAAGCTGATCGTGCCGAACATGTGCCTGAGAAATTGAACATTTATTTGTGCAGTCATCGCAAGATGGGCAGTTGTGAGATGTTGGACTGAGCTTAAAATCTTTCGTTTGCAGTTCAGTGTTCATACCAATGCTATGGATATATCAGTTCGATGGTTGGCGTTTTGCCAGGGGGGATACAAGTTTATTCGAGAGTGATTGTCGGCTTAGTTTTGCTAGGAACCCTTTTCCATTCATATCAGAGAGATTTCTTTATTCATATCTTCTGCTTTGCAACTTTATTTGCCGTTTATTTGCCGTTTAGTATTGATACCAGTTGTTAGCTCTGATACCAATTGTTAGGATCATTCAACAATCCACACGAAAGATTAACCAAAAGAACGGGAAGAGAGAGACAATACAAGTGGCTAAAGGTTTTATTATTGATGAGTATGTACAACAAGAAAAAATACATTTGCCTATAGTATAGTTTCAATTTACTAAATATAGGTTCCAAAGATTTAAACGGACATCACTAGGTGAATCTTTCAGCAACTCAACCTCAACCTCAACTCCAACTTGCTTTACCTCTAGTTCCTCAGCAAGAGTTTCAGGAGTTTCTTGAGTATCCGCTACAACATCACTATGTGAATCTTTCAGCAACTCAACCTCAATTCCCACTTGCTTCATCTCTAGATTCTCAGCAACAATCTCAGGAGTTTCTTGAGTATCTGCTACAACATCACTCTGTGAATTGTTTTGCAACTTAACCTCAACCTCAACTCCAACTTGTTTCACCTCTAATTCCTCAGCAAGAGTCTCAAGAGTTTCTTGAGTATCCACTACAACATCACTATGTGAATCTTTCAGCAACTCAACCTCAATTCCCACTTGCTTCATNGGAGTTTCTTGAGTATCTGCTACAACATCACTCTGTGAATTGTTTTGCAACTTAACCTCAACCTCAACTCCAACTTGTTTCACCTCTAATTCCTCAGCAAGAGTCTCAAGAGTTTCTTGAGTATCCACTACAACATCACTATGTGAATCTTTCAGCAACTCAACCTCAACCTCAACTCCAACTTGCTTTACCTCTAGTTCCTCAGCAAGAGTTTCAGGAGTTTCTTGAGTATCCGCTACAACATCACTATGTGAATCTTTCAGCAACTCAACCTCAACCTCAACTCCAACTTGCTTTACCTCTAGTTCCTCAGCAAGAGTTTCAGGAGTTTCTTGAGTATCCGCTACAACATCACTATGTGAATCTTTCAGCAACTCAACCTCAATTCCCACTTGCTTCATCTCTAGTTTCTCAGCAACAATCTCAGGAGTTTCTTGAGTATCTGCTACAACATCACTCTGTGAATTGTTTTGCAACTTAACCTCAACCTCAACTCCAACTTGTTTCACCCCTAGTTCCTCAGCAAGAGTCTCAAGAGTTTCTTGAGTATCAGCTACAACATTACTAGGTGAATCTTTCAGCAACTCAACTTTAACTCCCACTTGCTTCACCTTTGATTTCTCAGCAACAATCTCGAGAGTTTCTTGAGTATCAACTACAACATCACTCATCACTAGGTGAATCTTTCAGCAACTCAACCTTAACTCCCACTTGCTTCACCTTTGGTTTCTTAGCAATAGTCTCAAGAGTTTCTTGACTATCAGCTACAACATCATTAGGTGAATCTTTCAGTAACTTAACCTCAACTCTCACTTGTTTCACCTCTAGTTTCTCTGCAATAGTCTCAGGAGTTTCTTGAGTATCTGCTACAACATCACTCTGTAAATTTTTTAGCAACTCAATCTCAACTCCCACTTGTTTCGTTGTTCCAGTACTTTTCTTCAATTCTCTAACCGTCTTTGTGAATCTGTCCGCATCAAATACATCTTGTTCATAGTCGATGGTTTTTCGTACATATTCGACAGCGCCTTCAACAGATCTGACGTTGTCTTCTCCTTGATGATGTTGAACACCACGTTTCTGGATAGCGTCAACCGGATCATCCCTAAGGCTTGTCAATCCTTGAGCTTCCACTGTTCCGTGGTCATGGTATCCGACTTCACTCCCAATAGGAGTTTGTGAAGATCTTTCTAGTATTGATAATCTTCAATCTGCATCTTCCAGAAACTGAAATCGGATCCATCGAACTTCTCAATTCCAATCTTTGAACTTTCCATCTTCACAGATCGTGGTGACTTCCGCCTCGCTCTGATACCAGTTGTTAGGATCGATACCAGTTGTTAGCTCTGATACCAATTGTTAGGATCAATCAACAACGCACACACTCAATCAAGATGAACAAGAACAGTAGAAAGAAAATACAATAAGGAATATTGGCTAAAGATTTTATTGTTGATGACTTCTATCACAAGAGAAAATACAGAGAAAGAGAAAAAAAATACATGAATAATTGGTATATATATGGTTTAAATTTACTAAATATAGTTTCCAAAAATTTAAACTATCACATCTTTACCAAATCTCTATCATATATATCTCTCATATATTTACCAAATATTTTTCAAATATATCTCTACCATCTAAATATATTTCCAAATATATCTCTACACTCTGTATCAGGCTCCATATATATATTTCCAAATATATCTCTACCACATCAGCCTCCATATCATTATTACTAAATATCTTTACCAAATATATTTAGGCATTCCATATCCCAATAGATGATTACGAAATATCTTTCAAATATATTTTCAAATATATCTCTACCACTCTACCAGATGCACACATCAAGCTCCCAACAGATTCAATGAATAGAGAAAAATCATCACATGCAACAACATAACCATGCAAAAACTTTCCAAATATATTTTCAAATATATCTCTACCACTCTGTCAGATGCACATAATCAGGCTCCCAACCAACAGATTCAATGAATAGAGAAAAATCATCACATGCAACAACATAACCATGCAAAAACATGCGCCATGATAAAAGTCGCCACATTCATCGTGCTTCAGAACTCATTTACATCCAGAAAACACTAATACGATAAAATTTGATACATGTCATGAGACGAGAACCTTTTATTTCTGCATAGCTTGATACATGCTTGATAAATACATTCTACATATGTCTGCTTAAATTTTTGCGCACATTGATTTAATTACCATACAAAGCCAACCAAGCATCTTTTAGGGTATTAAATTACACACATATTTGTTCCTCACGTCCAAAGTAACTTTCAGGTCCAATAGCATTGGCGCAACGTAACAGTTCATGGAAAGGACAGAAAACATACTTAGACTATGTGCATGGTGTAAGCTGAAATCAAGGTTACTAAAGAGAACTTAGATGACAATATTTTAGGGCTTGGGTATTTATTTCGGCTCCTGGATCATGGCTTTCCGCATCTTCCACCGTATGTTCAAACCAAGAGAATTTATACACGAAATGAATGAAGTTGAAATGGGAATGGAATTTACATTCCAACCGACTCCCATCATGCCATCGCTGTGTATTGATGCCATTGCTGTGTATTACAAGTACAACTGAACCATTTACACAAGTTCTTAAAAAAAAAAAAAAAGAAGAAGAAATACAGTAATCCTGTCTGTCTAGCGTCTCCAATAACTAAACAACATAGCTGCTCAATATTGTCTTCAAATCAAATGACAGAGGCGCCCATCTACCCAAAATTATACCACTACCCAAGCCCATCGTCACATCATCCAACATCACTTGTGTTCATTCCAAATCATCCACGTGGACGGGGCTTGACGGCGAATCATTTTCCTCCCCACCATTAACCACCACCTTTGCTCGCTTTCTTGTTTCCACAGGGCGGCTGCTTTCATTTCCGTTGCTTCCATCTTTTCCCTCCTCTTCCTGTTCCCCTTCCCCTTCCCCTTCCCCTTCTATCTCGTCTTCACAGGGCTTCTCAGATGCATCCGCTTCTTCAATCTTACTTTTCAACGACTCGATCACATCCAACAATTCTCTATTTACCTATTGATACCACCAACTAGCCAAGTGAGAAAGAGGAACAATTTTCTTTATGTTAAAACGAAAAGAATATTTGTCTGGCATTCACCACACAGATTTATTACCTGAAGATTCTGTAGAAAATCAGATATATCCGTCGGGCAACAAGGGCAAGCCATGACATTCTTCCGGGATCTAAGAGCCCGTCCACCACTGTTTCTCTCTCTCAAGAATGACTTGCCCGCAAAAGCACCTTCCAAACATGACTTACAAAAGTTATGGGCACAAGGCGTAGTAATGGGCAGATTCATCACCTCCCGGCAAATAAGGCAGCTAAATTCTGCATATACAATTACATGCACAAGTGGAAAATGTTAAAAATGTTGGTTCAGCACCAAACAGCCTTTTCATTTTTTAGCGACTTTACTATATAATTAGACAACCTTTCAGTAACCTTTCTCGAACATTCATATTATGCGACTGCCTCATTCTCCTCCTTGACTTCTTCCCAGAAGTAGAATCTTCGGTTTCAACTGACTTCTTGCTCGTTGGTGGAGGTTTGCTCCACTTCCACCGACTATCTTTCTCCTGAAAGAAACTTGCAGATGCTCAAATTTACCACACCACGCTTCATTTATTAGCTTGGATAATTGTAGAAAAATTGTTCCTTAACCAAAAACAGTGAGTTTATGAAGTCCTCAAAACAGAATTTGCATACAAATTTGCAACAGCTAATTTATTTAGCGTAAAGTGATTATATAATCAAACATTATAAATATCTAGAAGAGTACTCTAGATTAGCTAAATATCATATTAAAGAGTCTACTATCCTTGGTTACTAATCATCCCAAATTCATAGAGAGCTCTTCATTTCTTCAAGGAATTTGTACAAGTTTAAAAAAAAAACTGATATTTACACAGAAAGAAACGGGGTTGGTTTTAATTCTAATTTAATAAAGGTTAAATATTGGGAGGAAAAGGGGGATCTCGTAAGTGAAATATAACTGAAGAGTACTCACATCAAAGTCCCATGAAGGATCTTTCTTCCTCTCCGTAATGTCTGTTGCTTTTTTTAACTCTGGAATTGCAGGTAAGGGTCTAGGTCGATCTCCATGTTCGTCACTGCAATTAAGAAACTTGTTGAGAGTGTTTGTTTAATGAAGGAAAAGACCTCGGAGGCAAAGCCAGAGACGGCAAAGCCAACTAGCACTTGATAACATAAAAGCAATTACATATTTTGAATGAACTGAAAAAAAGATACATAGTTAGAAAACACAAACCTTGTCCATGGTGCAGGATCATTGTCGCATCTAACAAACAAATACCGACATACCTTAAAGCCCTAATTTCAGGATACATAT